TATAGCAAAAAAAAAAAAAAAAAAAAACCTCAAAAAAAAACCACCAAAAAACAAAAAAAGAAGGCATAATTCCTACTTTTGTAGTTCCTCTGTAACTGTATTTAGAGCCTGTTAAAATAGGTAATCACAGGTAGTTTTGTTTTTTATTTTTTTAATTAAAAAATTTTTTTTAAGTTTTTTTTGGTCATAGGGTAAGTGCCCTTGCTGGAGAGAGACAAAAACAGACAGTGAAGGAAAGTGAGATATTACCCCACAGAAGCATGGCCATGCTGCAATTCCTTCTCCCTTCTCCTCCTGGAATTTTGGGCATGTCCACACAGACGCCCGACATGATTTTCTAGGTGTCAGGTCTGGGACTTGAAGTACTGTTGGCCATATGGGAGTCCCACCACCTTGACCACCATGCCAGCTGCTGGCTGCACACACAGGTAATCTTTGTGACTCAGAGATACTTAGGTCTCTCCTCAAAGTTTGACTGTAGCTTCTTTGGTTTTATAAACTATTCTTTAACCTTTTCAGAAAAATGCTATGAGACTCTCCTTTCATTAATAGATGTTTTGACAGCCATATAAGAAAAGATAAAGACTTCGGTGGTATACAGAGCATTTGTTACTATTTATTTAAGTAAATATTCAGTTCATGTGTTTTTAGTTTTTAATTGCCAGAACAGATATGTATGCTTGCCAGAGAGGGAGAGAAGGTGGGGGAGAAAGCACACGTAATGTGGTGTGGGAACATCACAATCCTTTCTCCATCCTGCTAGGATTTGGGACGTGCATACACATACCAGTATGTTTTTCAAGCCAGTGGGGTCAGGATTTTAAACTGTCATCAGCCATGTGGGATCTGGCTCCCTTAACCCAACAGTTATTGTCTTGAAAAATAATGCCTAAAGTGTAATTTTATTATTATACATTGCAGTTTTGGATTTTAAAGTAGCCCTTGAGTTTAGAAAGTTTTGTTTATTCAAAAATCAATTATTGTGACGTGTCTTAAGTTTAGAAAGTTTTCTTTTTTCAAAAATCAATTATTTTGGCATGTACCTGTAATCCCAGCTACTCAGGAGTCCGAAGCAGGAAAATTGCAAGTGTGAGGCCAGCCTGGGCAACACAGCAAGACCCTTTCTTTGTCTGAAACAGCAATAACAACAGCAAAACAAAAAAAGCACTTGCCACATGTATTCAGTAACTCATTATCAGTGTCTCAGTAAAGTATATACAGTGCCCACAAATTTTTTAAGTAAAAAATTTAAACAATGCAAAGGTTAGTCCCCTTTAAGTCTTTTCTCACTTAGTAACTATTAGATTAATTTCATTTATTTCTGTAATATGTGCACAGTCTCTCAATTTGCTTCTATTTTTGAAATAGTTTTTAATGTACTTTATACATTTCCTATTATGCGTATTGCTGCTTATTTGTTTCTCCACACCAGCACCTGAACTATTTAAGAGCAGATCCCTTTGGTCTTGGTTTAGAGGTACATGCAATTGCCTAGAACAGAACTTGCACATACTAAATGCTTAGATATTTTTTGATGAATGAAAAAAAAAAACCAAAAAAACCTTTGTCCTTGCCTATGGGCCTGTGAGTGAGTGAGTACATGCGCATATGGTTTGGTAATAAAATGAAGCAATATGAGAAATAAATAATAAAATAACATAGCTACTTTTTATTGCTGTGGTGTAATAGGACTTACCTACTTTATAGATGAATGACTTTGCAATATTTTTTCCATATGATTTTTGAAGAAAGTTTGGCAATATGTCTCTGGTAATCTTAGTAGAACGTTTAAGTCTAATGTGTTATAATTAGTATTGAATGAACCAGACTAAGTTACCTATTAGGTTAATTGTATGCAGGGACTTCAAAAAGTTCATGGAAAATGCAATTTAAAAATTTGGTTTTAAAAATTTGAAACTCACACAGTTTGTCTTTTTCATGATACACATTTTCCATGAACATTTTGAAGACTTTATCTCTAATGAAGACTAGCCCTGATTATACTGTTAAACTTGCCTTTGTAGCAACAAAATTGTATTACACTCATCCCCTAGTACTTACAGTAACAGACTCTGAAGCTAATACTTTTTCAAAAAGACTATTGCTTTGCTTAATTTTTTATCTTTATATTGTGTTTCACTTTTTTTTCATTTAAAGACCATTTTTATTTTATTTTATTTTATTTTTGTTTTGTTTCATCTTATTTTTTGCAGACAGGCTGGAGGAGAGAGCATCCTCAGATATGAATGTAGAGCCACTTTCTGCTCCACATAATCATCCTCCAGAAGATCCTTTTGGTTCTGTTCCTTTCATTTCCCACTCAGGCAAGTTACATATGTAACATCACTGTCATTAAAAAATACACACAAGAACAACTACAGCAATAAAACCTTATTAATATAAAGCAAAAATAAGAGTCAGGTGCTAGTTATAGGAGATAAAGTAGAAAATCATTTTAACTTGTAGCTGCTGTGGTCTTCCTGATGTTGTTCTGCCCATTAAGTTATTCAATTATATTTTTGCCAACATAGAAAAATGCTTATTTCTGCAGTAGAAATGTGTTTCTTTTCATCTTTGGCAATACTTTTTGTAAAAAAAAAAAAACCCACAAACTATGCATGAAAATCTCTCTCCCTTTTATATATTTAAGATACATTTAAGCTATTTTTATACTTTTAAGAATTTTGATATTTTCTTAGTTTACATATACTCTTTTGTAGTATATTTTTAAAAGTATTTATGATTTTGTATTTGTCACAGTTACTTTGTTTTAGCTGTTCTTCTTATATATCAGCTTTTGATTTTGATCCAGAATTTATACTGATATTACTATTTAAAAATACCTATAGTGAAAATTTCAAGGTAATTAGCCAGTTAATATTTGGAAGATACTCATATGGAATAGGACTTTGACATAAATTCATTTTGTGTGTGTGGTTATAGTGGAAGAAATGAGTTTTACTCTTGGAAGAAAGCATACTTTGTCAGAGGGTACTGGTGTTAGTTTATGTTCAGGTAAAAATAAATTATTTGAGGACATTTATTTTTCTGTAATAATGGAATAATTGAATCTACTGAAACAATGGTAATGAGTTTGTTTTTACTTTTTTTAAGTTTATCATAATTTTAGAAAATACTTTAAAATTAAAACTTTATTTTTATTAAGGTAATATATGTAGATAATTCAAAAAGTCAAACTTAACAAGGTTTAAAATGGTCTCCTTTCCCTGTTCAAACACTGTAGAAGTAATTTTTTACTTCCTGCATTTTAATATATTGTGCTTACTCTGCAATTTTATATTCTCTCAAACTCCTAATTTTGGATAATATCTGTGAACTTCCTATTATGAAAAGTGAGGATTTAGATTAATTACAGTGTTAGCACCTCTACCACACACAAATACAAATATGTTAAATAGTTATACATATGTCTGTGTAAATATTTATATAATATCTAAATATTATATAAATATATATTCTGTCATCCCTGTTCCAGCAGTTTGTCATAGTCTTTGGTTAATTTAGTGCTCAGCATATACATTTTTTTGGATGTGCAAATATTTGTTACTGTGATCATATTTTCTTTCTTCTATAGGGTTTTGTTTTTCCTGGAGTTAATCACCGTATTTATAGTTACTATGATTTTTAGTTTGCTTACTTTTTGATATACCGTATCATCGATTTATGTCCATTTACATGTAAAATTGTCTCCCAATTTATGGTGGCTATCATTTTCAGTTTTACTTGGTTGCAACATTTTTTGCAGTCCGCATTGGTTGCTTTCTAGGATTGCCATACACTTCTAGTCTTAGTATGCTGTCTCTTACCTGCCTCTCTTCTGGCAAAATTTCTAGGTCTCTTCTCTTCCTCTGTATTGGTTTGTTAGCAGAGTAACTCCTCTAGGTGTTCCTTGAGAGAGTATGCATAAAAACTTTTAAACCTTGCTTCCTAAATACCTTTTATTCCCCCTAAACTGATGGTTGGTTGATAATTTGGCTAGGTAAATAATTCTAAGTTATGTGTAATTTTCCCTGTGAACTTTAGAAACATTACTTTATGACTTCTAATACTGCTGTTAAGAAATCCCGTGTGGCTGGCTCCACAGCGTAGCACTTAATGGAGCCAGATCCCACATGGCCAACTGTGGTTTGAATTCCAACCCTGGGGCACATACTGGAGAACAAGCTGGGCACCTACGAGCCATACCCAAATCCTGATGGCAAGGTGGGATGGAGTTTGAAAAAGGATCACGAGCCCCATTATAGGGTGCTGTCTCTTTCTCTCTAATGAGTGGATATGTCCTCTGTGGTTAAAAAAAGAGAAAAATCTGATGCCATTCTGATTCTTGATTTGTGACCTGGGTTTGTTTTTGTTTTTGTTTTTGTTTTTCTGCTCCTTCAATTGTTAGAAATTGAGAATTCCCTTGAAGTAAATGATTCTAGGAGAAATAAAAGAACTGATGCTTTTTGTTAAGGTTTTTGCCATGGAGCATGTGTGCTCACCAGAGAAAGTGAGAGGAAAAGAGAAATTATGCTCAAGGAGGGATGACCATGTTGCCATCCCTTCTCCATTTTCCTCTTGTGATTTTGGGTACGCACATACACACACCAGGTCCAGGAGTCAAACCATGGTTAGACATGGGAAGTCTAGTGCCTTAACCACTGCACCACCTGTTGACCCCAGAACAGGTACTTTTTTTCTTTTAAAGACATAATAAAATTAAAAAATGGAAAGAGGTTGTTGGAAAAAAATGAATAGATTCATTAATTGTAGCTGGGATGTGGGTAGAGAACATAGCTCAGATCTATCCATTACCATCAAACTTTCATGAAGCAAAAAGACTATATCATTATGAGCCATGTATACTCAAGTTTTTATATGAATACAGTGTTTTAATTAGTCATAATAATAGTATGCTTTCAGTTTTCCCCTATTCCACCTATGAATATATATCCTTTTTTATAATCAAGATTATAAATAGCTTTCATTTTCCCCACATCTAATGATCTGGTGTTACTGCCAGAGATGGACTATTAGGTTTGGTAGGCCAGTGATCAAAGTTTCAAATTTTGGCAGTTTTCTGTGCAAATGTCTATATTCTGATAAAATACTCAATGAGTATGTATTAAAAATAGGAATCAGATGTAACATTTATTGTACTTAAGAATACACTTTTGAAGTCAAGATTACTCAGGTTCTACCTGAACTGTTATTTCTTAGAGCTGTGTGGCCCAGGCCAGTAACCTACTATACTACTTCCTCAGTATATCCATTTCCTTATCTGAAAAAGGGGGTAATATTACATAACAGATGACTGATAGTGTTCTTAGTGACTAATTAGAAGATCTTTGTGAAGCATGAAAAAATGTCTGGCACATAGTTTCTCAGGGTATACTGATTGTTTTTTTGTAATGGTTTCTATTTATATATGGTGATTGCAGTTATGTAATTGGAGCTCAGCTACCCTAAAGCCATTACATAACATTTTCAGTCCTACGATGTGTTTGCTTGGTTTTTGGTAAATGATTTATATCTTTTCAGTTTTATGGGAATTTCTAGGAGTTATCAACTCTTTAATATTTGTTTTACAGTATTTGCTCACATTCTATCATTGCCACTGTTTTTCTGCAGTTTCACAGTGAGATTTTGCTATATTTTAAATAAATTTTTATTGACTACCCTTATATGTGAACATTCGACACCTAATATTATACCTAGAGAAGAAATTGTTTGGCCAAGATGATAGACATTTACAAAATGGATTTATTGCTAGAAAAGCCTGCAAAACTGCAGGAAAAAATAGACAACTTTATACTCCGACTGGCTTTATTTGAAGATGCTCATTTATAAAAATGCTTAACCTTAAAGGGTTTTTCTTTTTGTATTTTATTAAGAAGGTGACACTTTATTATTTTTTAAAGTTGATTTATTTTTCCCATGGGAGTGACAGAGAGACCACATCCCCAACAGGGTCGTGACAGTCCACCTTCAGCCTCTTCCAGCCCTGGATCCTGGATACACATAGGCTCAGCATACTCAGGGTAGTCTCTGGATATGCTTTCAGTGGAAACTTCCATGTGAGTCAGCCTCACCCAGGTTTACTGCTATGCCATCATCTGGCCCCAAGGAGTTCTGATAGTTCCCTCTGTTTAAATGTATCTGTTTTGGGGTAAATGCACAGTTGTGCTGGTAAATACAGTGTGGTACTGTAATATGTAGAATCCCTAAAGTATGTATAAAACTAAAATTATCGTGCTAATACATTGCCGAGAGCATAAATTGGGACAACTGTTTTTGGAAAGCAGCTTAAGAATAAATGTTTGTGTTCTTTATTTTATCTTATTTTTTTAACCCCTTATGTCTGGGAATGTTACCCTAGGAAAATAACATAAAACTGGGGGGGAAAAGTGCAGCTACAAAAATGTTTAGTTGTAACATTAGTTTTAGAAGCAGAAAATTTAAAACATTCTGAATACCCAGTATCAGGCAAATGATTAAATTACAGCCTGTTTAGTAGATGAGATTTATTGAGGTTGTTTTAAAAATGATAGTAATGAAGATTATATGGTTATAAAGGTGTCTATACTGTAATTGAAGTAACCATTTATAATGGGAAGATAATCATATCATAAAACTGAATATTATAGGACAATTCATAATGTCATCATATTAGCACAGCTCTTTTGAATTTTGATCTGTTTACTTTGATTTTCTTTGTAGATATAATGTTGATACTTATTAAGCATAGTATGCATAAAACATTGTTATCCTTTTTTCTATTTGTTATCTATTTCTAGTTGTACTTTTACCTAAAAATCGAAATGGATTGTCATAAAGATTAAAGTCTTTGTCTTTCAAGAACTTAAGAGTTTGTTTAGATTGGGACCAGCAGTTAGCGTAATGGCTATGTCACTGGACTTCCATGTAGTCGACCGTGGTTTGAGTTTCGGACCCGGTGGCTTAAACTCACGCCCGGCGCATGTTTATGCGTGCCCAAGATCCTGAGAGGAGAATGGAGGAAAAGGGATTGCGGCATGGCCATCCCTCCCCACCCCGGGGCGGGGGGTGATTTCTTGCTTTCTGTTTCTGTCTCTCTCTCTTTCTGGCTAGCACACGTGCCCTATAGCAAAAACCTCTCAAAAAAAAAAAAAAGTTTGTTTAGGTAGAGATAATCATGAAAATTATGTACAATTAAGAACTGTAGATGCCGGGACCAGCAGTTAGCGTAATGGTTATGTTGCTGGATTCCTATGTAATCTACTGCGGTTTGCGGCCCGGACCTGGTGACTTAAAACTCACGCCGGGCGCGTGTGCGTGCGTACTC